CCCCCCCCTTCCCTCCCTCCGTCCATTTCAGGAGAGCTTTCTTTCATACCACAGTGTGTTTTTGTTTTGATGAATGGCCGCGTGCAGCGTTGGCAAAACCCGATCACATCGATCGCGGTCGGAGGGAAAGCAGTGTAGAAAAGACTCGGAGACAATCTATTTCCATTAGCGGCCTGGCGCTACTTGCTGACGTGCACTTAGACGAGAAATACAGCGACGAGCTGCGCGCACGACGTTCAACAGTCCGACCCACCGACCGACACACGACTCCAGCGTCGCAGCAGACCTCAAAGTGCATCCATCCCCCTACTTTTATCACAATTACAAAACTCCCCGCCGCCCAACACTCCATATTATTCAGACAGACAGACAAATATTTCTTTTTTTCCCCCAACTCCCTTATCTTTTCAGATGTAATTACTGTAACAAGTTCTAATAGTTTTACAATTAAACAGACACACTCGAGAAGTCCGCATAAAGGAAGCTGAGGTTCTTTCTCGGGAAGAATCAATGGATCAAATCCCCCCCCCCCCTCCTCCCTCGCTCTCTGACTCTAAACGATCCCGGCCGTGTACAGTCGCGTAAACAGTCAGGACAAGAACTGTGTTACTGGAAAAGTTGCTTCATCTTCTTTTTCACCCCCCAACCTCCCCAAAAAATCACCCGGTTAAGAACAAACAAATAACAATAAACCCAAATATCACAAAAAAGATACAAAAGGCCCCCCCCCCCCTTAGCCACCAACAACAAAACAACGAATACTATCTCCACCTTCGAACTCCCTAAAATCTTAAAAAAATAAAAACCAAACGAAGATCAAACAATCTTCTAACAACAGCTCAATACAACCAAACAAACAACATTATTAACCCATTACATTACATGAACCATTAACAGAAAAAACAAGGCAGGGAAAAAAATAAAGAAAGAGTTTCTCACAAGGAAGTTTAAGGTTCATGTTACTTTACTCACCTTATTCTTGCGCGCCTTCCCGCAGACCAGTCCGTCTGTGGGTGAGTGGTCCAGGGACCTGTAGTGGGGCGCCATGTGGTCCATGCCACCGGGGTCATCGAAACTGGGGAAGAGCAGAAAAAAACACCACGTTAGATTTGTGCATGTGTTTTTCTTTTTTTCCGTAAGAGTTTGTTTTTGTTTTAGTAGAGGTTTTACGGCGCTCGCAACTCCATAAGGTCATATGAGCGCCAGAAGATTAGAGGAGTTACAAGAGAGTTACAAACATAAAAAAGAAGGAGGGGAGATAAGGACGATAGATGTTTGATAGGAAAGAAGGAGCAAACCACACCAGAGCACCCGCCAACTACCCACTCGTAAGAGTTTTACGGCACTTGCAACACAATAAGGTCAAATAAGTGTCGAAGATACGAGGTGTTACAAGAGAGAAAAAAACATAAAAAAGGAGGGGAGATAAAGACGATAGGTGTTTGACAGGAAAGAAGAAGCAGATAGATATATAAAAAGATAGATAGAAGGATAGATAGAAGGATATGTAGAAGGATATGTAGAAGGATATGTAGAAGGATAGATAGATAGATAGATAGATAGATAGATAGATAGATAGATAGATAGATAGAT